AGTACATCCCACTGCCTAACTCACTCTTGGTGGCCGGTCACTCCCTTGCAGCATTCAGATCTCCATTCAACTCTCACAAGACTAGGTAGACCTACCTGACCACTTCCCTAACATAGAAGTAATATTACTCTTTCTTTACCATGCTTTATTTTTCTATAGGGTACCTGATAATCACATTTCATATTATATACTACAAAATAAACTTTTTATTGCCTATCTCACCCAACAAAGTGTAAGCTTGAAGATATGTATATATACAAATGTATAAATGTACATATGCATAGAGATATACATACACATCTTCTAGAACATTCCTCTTCAATAGTAGGTTATTCGATCGATATATTTCACATTTGTACCTTCATCAAACGTGTTGAATTTCCATATAATTTATCTTCATGTACACAATACAAGAGGATTATTCCAGGAATACTGTTTTTCAGACTTTTTTCTTTAGGAATAAATTATGAAATCAGGGCTAAAGAGATAACTCAGATTAAGAAACATGCTACTCTTACAGAGGACCTGAGTTCAGTTTGCAGTCCCCACACTGGGCAGCCTACAGCAGACTCTAACTACAGCTATAGGGAATAAGCTGCCCTCTTCTGGCTTCCTCAGGTACCTGCTCTCATATGTGTGCACAGACATACAGACACATCATCATTTTTTTAAATTTTAATTATGAAGTCACATCAGAAATTCTTTTTCCTTTTTATTTATTACAATTTATTCACTTTGTATTCCAGCTGTAGCCCCCTCCCTCATCCCCTACCAATCCCTCCCTCCTACTTCCTCTCGCATGCCCCTCCCCAATCCACTGATAGAGGAAGTCCTCCTCCCCTTTCATCTGACCCTAGCCTAACAGATCTCATCAGGACTGGCTGCACTGTCTTCCTCTGTGGCCTGGTAAGGCTGGCCCGACTCAGGGGGAGGTGATCAGAGAGCCTGACACTAAGTCCATCAGAAATTCTTAACCCAAAGACCTCAGTAACAGCATAAATGGTGCATTAAAGCTCTTGCTGCTATTTAGTGCATTTAATGCACCATGTCAACATTAACTAGCTAAAAAGATTACGAACGATATGAGAAACCCCTAACATTTATATTGTTTCAAAGTATTTTCACATCTTATTGGAGTCTTATAATACACTCAAGAAACCACAAATTTAGAGTTTACATACTTGCCCTAAAGAGTAAAACTAGAATTATGACTAGATACAAAGCTAGGCTTATTTGTATCTGAAGTCTGGGCTTTTCACTGTACCCTCACTTTATAGATGAATGTTTCGTGCTAAACAGGGGAAGTGACTGGATCATCATTTCCTTAGGAAAGAATACATGGCTGGAATTAAACTTCAATGATACAGCCCTGGCCTAGAAAGTATGAAGTCCTGGGTCCAACCACAGGACAGAGAAAGAGAAAGAAGATAGAGCTAGGAACATGAGACTCGTGAGCCCCTGCCCAGAGCTCTCTCAACTACATGCTGGCTCAGTAAATTAGAAAAAAAAAAAATTCCTAAATGACCACACAGTTAAAATGGTAACTGATACACAATGCTACACTTTTCTGAAGATTCCACAGTATATGCGCCTGGTTCTGCATAGTGCTAACTTGATGACACTTGCAATCCTCAGCTTATTTAATGTAGTTGGGAGGCAAATGAGATTCCAGTGCCCCTGTTGTGCATAGGTGCTCAAGGAGCATTTCCTGCATGGCAGGGGAGTGCCCTATATTTACAGTATCTGATCCAGTTTAGTAACGAGATTAAATGTTAAAATTAGCCTCATAAAACTTTTCACCCTAGTTCACACAAAAACAATATTCTGAGATTATGACTTGCAATTTTTCATGAGTTGATTTATATGAACAAACCTATAAGGTTTTGAACCATTAAGCATTCGATTTAGAACAAAAAGTAGTGTACAGAAGAATAAACTGAGAAATAGAGCAGATTTGTTTCCTGTAATAATTATGAACAATATCTCAAACTCAGCATCCTTGGACCACTGAGCTGTGTAGGATGAATGTGCTAATTAATCAATTACTACCCAACAATGTACCCTGTTTGTTTACTGAGATGCACTAGAAACATGTGCAGATCTAGTAATTATTAATCATCTTCAGTAACAAAGATGACTCAAGTTCACCTTCATATTATTAATAGAGCATGCAGTTAGCGTTAACATCTTGCTTTATGAGAAACAGCAATAAAGAATAAAAGAAAAGAGCTGAACCTTCAAGTTGTGGTTCACGGAGACATTGGCTTGGACTAATATACGTATCACCACAGCAGACTCACATGCATCTCAACTGTGACCAGATGCTCTCTCCACGAAAATGCAACTTTGACAAACTAAGCTTTTATTTAATAAAATTCTAAGCTTTCCAAAAAGTTGTATATACACAGGCACACACACAGTAGAAGCTCAGGCAGGCATCTCAAACAAAATCCACACTTAGAACTTGACAACAGACTTGGATTTGTGATCCTTGTTCATGGTGTCCAAACTCCTTCACTCGTGACTCACTTTAAACACTTTAAAACATACTTTCCCATAGGCATATAAACAATTAGTTTGCAGCAAATATTGCAGCTAATCTAATTTTGAAAAAAAAATCAGTTTTTTGGTTTGATAATGATCATATACCCTTTTACGCCAAATTCTCTTTGAGCCAGATAACCTTCTAGATATTAGACTGTGTTGGCTACATGTATACTGAATCTGGCCTACCTGACAAACCATGCATTTATTATAGTTCTGCCTATATAGGTTCAAGTTCCCGCCCGAGCACCAGCTTACTCTAACTGCAGACCTCACTGCCCCTCCTGAAACTGTTTCTCCAGGTTGGCAATGAGAACTTGAAACACTGCTGAGGAAGTGTTTAGATGAGACAATAGAAGCAATCCAGCCAAGACTTAATAAATGCTCAGAGAGGGGCAGATATTATGATACTGATATTAGTGCCCTCTGCGGTCATTTCTAGCTTAAAAAATACTAAAACATGGACATACAGATAACATGGTATTTCATACAATGAAAATCATAAATGCATATCAATTTTTTGAAAGTTTTCTCCAAGGGGTGGGAAAAATGGAGAAAACTTAGTATGATGATATAGAAGCGAAAATCCTATTCCATTTGAAAATGCCAGTGGAATTTTCAAAAACCTTTACTGACAAATCATAAATCAGTAAGGAGTCTTCTCTATTTCCATTATAAAATGACTCAGGGCCCTTTTAAGTGGAGAGCTCCCTTAGGGCAGTATTTGTTTATAGATCATTACCTACTTGACAGTGAGACCAGGGAGCAGGCAGAGACATTGAAGATCAGCAATGGAGCCAAAGTATCTTCAGGATTTGATCTGAAAGTTATTTGTGTTACAAAAACTGTTATAGACTTTTCATAAATATTTCTGTTAATAAAGTAAGGCTCCCTTTAAAAGCCGGGGCTCTAACTATGATCCATGTAGAACGTGAATTTGACTTTATTCGGCCATCTTTTCAAAGGCAACTCCAAACCCTGACTATATACTATGAAGGCTTGTAAGCCTGAGAACATGCCCACATGATGGACTCCATTATCTACCAGCATATATGCTTATCTGGGTTACAAAGTTATAAACATATTTTTTTGCCACCAGGTATCAGAGTGCCAACGCCTACACCAGACTGCCTTTAATGAAAAGCTCACTGGTAGCTGGGGACAGGGTTTTTATACTTGATTTTGATAGATCATCTTGGATACATTTCCTACCTATTTTGTAGTTTAATTTCTTCATCTGCCCAAATTAACATTTTAAATAAACTAGATTAAAACCGTTGATCCTACATAATATAAGTTCCTTTCTCCAACATCCCTCAATATACTAATCATATTCATTTTCATCCATCCCCATTTATTAAAAAATAGTGCCTACACTAAGCCAAGTGCCAGCCTAGGTACTGGGGTCGCAGAACTTTAGAAATTACACATGTATCCTTAGCACCGGGAAGTTCATGTCATGGTGAAGGGAATGTTTGGACACAGGTGTCTGAGGACAAGGTCTTCAGATCCACCACCCACAGTAAGCACTTTGCCAGAGTAATTCTTAGTGTCACTCTTTACAACAGCAGCCCCAGCAGCCAGCCAACTCCTTGGAGCTTTCAGAGAACATCAATGAGTTCTACAAAAGACTCAAGAAGATCTAAATAAGAATACAGTGTTCCTTTCCTTTCCTAGCCTTTTCCATGGAGACAACCTGGTATAAAGCCCATATATACTGTCCTTGACAAGACAGTGTAAGAGTACAGGGGGGAGCAGTAAGCAGTGTTTGCCACTGATGGGGAGAATTGATGGACATTCATTTGGCTGTAGGGGTAGCTAACCCCACTGTTTTTAGTGCTGACCTTGGCTTAGAGGGCATTGAGCCACCAAGCAGAGATAGGTACCAAGGAAGCCGGCGTCTGAAGGTATTTTGGCTAACTGTGATTACATCCTAACCATGCTGGAATAAGAATTGGGCAAAATCATTTCCATAGTCATCCTTCCTTAAAACAATAGTCATTAAGGCATAAACTGGAAATTTTAAATGAAATCTTAAATATAAGCATTTTAACCTCATATTTGTAAGTCTTCCATATTTTACTAATATGATGACATATGCATGTTGCACGATTTCCTTAATTTTACCTTTGAGAATATAAGTGAATTAAAATCTACATCCTAATCCTGCTCTGTGTTAAATCACATTATTACAATACAGTGGTGTTTGTTTATCTACAGGTGTTTGCTTATCCCAAGATCTCAGAACATACTTGAAACCTCAAATATACTGAACCCTATATGTCCTGGTTTTTTCCTATACATACATATTTATGAAAAATTAATTTATAAATATATTGGTCATAATTTATTTTAAAAATAAATATAACAATTATAACAACATATTGTAAGAAGTCATGTGAATGTCATATTGCTTCTCTAAACAGCTTGTACCACACTCACTCCTCTGGTTTGCCATGGACAACAAGGTTCAGGTAATGGGGAACTACTTTAAATCAGGATCTCACTGTAAGGTCGTAAGAACCACAGGAGATGGTTGTGATAATACACACCTACAGGTCCAGCTACCTGGAAGGCTGGGTGGCAGGACTGCTTCAGCTTCTAAGTCTGAGGTCAGCCTAGTGGCACAGTGTGACCTTGTCTTAAAGCCCAATAACAACACCATGAAAATAAGTAATATGCGTGCATGCATACACGAGTGCACAAACACACACTCACAAGACTAAGTCTAAATAGATATTTTTTTCTCTAGATCCTTAATAAACACTAACAACAATGGTTAGAGATGTAGTTCAGTAGTAGAGTAGTTGCTTAGCATCCATGAGGTGCTGAATATGCCCCATACAACTGAAAACACTAAGATATAAAAACCTGGACATGTAATTGATATGTGTAATCCATAGATCGGGTATGACAAATATGAATAGTGATGCTATGAATATTCTGATACATGTGGAGAATATTAATGTACAATTCATGTTAGATGTTGCCATAGACTGAATGTGTCTCCCTCCACATACACTCAAGTTCATATGCTGAAGCCCCAACACTAATGTGCCTGCCTTTTGGAAACAGGGCCTGAGAGGAGGTTAAATAAGTCACCAAAGTGAGGATGAAATCTGACATGAATTGTAAAAAGTAGGTCCACCCTATGAGGATACAGGGATAAAGCAGCCATCTGCAAGCCAGGAAGAAAACTCTCAGAGGAGCTGAATTGGTCTTGGTCAATACTGTGTATGGCCCTCATTAGAAATAAATTTTTGCCCAGCATAGCTGTCTTCTGAGAGGCTCTACCTAGCAAAGGATGGAAACAGATGCTGAAACTCACAGCCAAAGATTTGGCAGAGCACAGGGAGCCTTCCGGGAGAGTTGTGGGAATGATAGAAGAGTGCAGAGGGGACAGGAGCTTCACAAGAAGACCAACAGAGCCAAATACCTGGGTCCAGGGGGGCTTTTGGAGACTGAAGCACCAACCAAGGACCAGGCATTGACTTGATCTAGGCTTCTACACATATATACCCAAAGGCCAACTTGGTCTTCTTATGGGTCTCCTAGTAAGGAGAACAGGGACTGTTTCTGACTCTGTTGCATGATTTTCAATCATTTTACTTTGGTCGGGCTGCCTTGCCAGGCCACCATGAAAGAGGATGTACTCGGTCCTGATGTGACTTGAAGTGCTGGGATGGGTTAGTATATGGGGGGGGGGCCTTCCTGAGTGGTAGGGGAGGGGGAAGGAGAAAGAAGGAAAGAAGGAGGGAGGGTGGGAGCAGGAGGAAAGGAGGATGGGGACTATGATTGGGATGTAGAGTAAACTATTAAATAAAGTTAAAAGTTAAAAAAATTATATTGTTTAAAACCAGCCACCGAATGATATTTGTCATTAAACATTGTCAAATAAAACAATATAGGTATGGACCTAGTAGTAGTACAAGGTCTATCATAAGCCATGCACATATTCACCTGTATCTGTCAAAACCACGTATATGAGGCTTGAGGTGGGAGCAAGTTCAAAGTCAGCCTGGGGCATTGCCAAACTGATTTCAGCAGTGTGATAAGAATTCCAGTTATGGTCCAGAGCAATGGCTCAGGGTTAAGAGCACTGGCTGCTCTTTCAGAGGATCAGTGTTCAGTTTCCAGCACTTACACAGTGATTCACAACCAGCAGTCATTCCAGTCCCAATTGATCTGATGCCCTCTTCTGGCTTCTACCAGCACAAGACATGCATATGGTGTACAAACACACAGGCAGGCAAAAACCCGAACACAGGAGACATAAATAAATAAGTCTTAAAAAAAAAAAAAAA